AAATTCATGACTAGCCTAAAAAAAATAAAACAAAAATCCTGGAATGTTAGTACATCAGAACATCAATACATGGGACTGCAATCTATAATCTTGAGTGTCAAAGATCTGCTCTACTTGTTGAGATCAGTTAAGGAGAGTCTCACATTGCTCAGATGGCTGTCAGACCATCCTATTTGTTTCTGCCTCTCTGCAGCCAACTGTTCTGACAGCCCTGCAAGCTACTGAAAATGAATCCTGTTCATGGATTCAAATTTCATTAGGGTTTCTGCTTTTCAGCTTACTTTCCTCATCCACACAGTATGCCACCCCAAAATGTGACACTAGGGAGAGCAATTATGCTCCAGATGTCTAAGTAGATCAAGGTCAGTAAACTATGTTCTCACTCACAGTTGTGGGTTCATAGACGCAAAAATCAATTATTACAGATAAGTTAAAAACTAGCCAAAAACTGCCTGTCATGAATTTTTTTTTTTAGAGTGAAATATAAAATATCTAACTTAGGGTGTTTTTAATAGTGTACTTACTGAACACTATTCAACACATGACAATTATTAGTATTCAGTTTCATAGTATGGCCAGTTTTCAGAAAGTAGCACAGGACAAAAAAAACAAAGAGAAGGGAAAAGAGAGAAGGCATGAGAGGATAAGTGGGAAAGACATCGGCGGGAGGAAGAAAGGTGATAATAGAATCTGAGAGGGGGAAAGGGAGGCAACGTCAAGAATGGTTCTTTGCTTTTTTTTCTCATCACACCCTCTGAGAAAATTAGAAACTACAGGGCTTTCCCCATAAAGTGGACATGTTTACATTATATTCAAGGGATCCATGAACTACTGGTTAAGAACTCCTGGTCCAAACAGGGCTACAGAAAAGCAGAAGCAAAGGGAAAGGTACAGAGAAACAGAAAGGTAGAGAGATGGATAGAAAGAGCCACAGGGGAAAAGGGGGGAGAGAAGGGATGACATCAGTTTCCACCCCTTCTCACCCAGACTAACTCTGGGCTAAACTTTGAAGATGAGCATTCCTCAGTGCTGTTTAATCTCCCCTCCCATCTTTTCTCTCATCCAAATGTACTGCACTCATTAAAAGGGAGCGGTATGGTCTTAATACTTACAGATACGAACCATTCTAGAGTAACACCAAGAGGGAATCCATGCAGCTGAGCTGTGTTAACAGGTCCTTCCCTTCTCGAGGCTCCTGTCTCTCCTTAGTTCAATGAAGGGATCCACATAGATAAAAACATTTTTCAGTCAATACGTGCCAGCTCAGAAGTTGTCCAGGGGTCAGGGGAAGTTCCTGGTGTTATAGATAGCAGCAGGAGTAGAGGTTGCCATGCAAGCTGAGGATTCTCTCCCTTCCAGTACCTGTGGGCTGTAGGAGCAGGGAAGGAAGGAAAGGTACCTTTTCTGGGGGAGGGAGGAATCTCCCTCTCTGCACTCATGTATAGTGTGGTCTTATGATGAAAGAATGTGCCTATCAATATTGCAACCATCAACCTAACGTATCTAAATCTGGTCTTTGCTCCAGGCCTCTTCCCTTTCCTTGGAGGAGTGTCAGTTGGGAGATAGACTAGGAAAACATTTTAAAGTTCAGCTCTATAAATTTCAACTTATTTTCCCACTTCAGTTTTAACTTCAAGTATATACACTTGTCTCTAGGGTTTTCATTCTAGAGTTCTTACCAAGAAATGAAGAGCTACAAGATTTCTCTTGTACTATTGGGGGTTTGAAGTGGGGATAATATCGATAAAAGAAATGAAGCCGAAACCGGTTTGGCTCAGTGGATAGATGCGGACTGAAAGGTCCCAGGTTCAATTCCGGTCAAGGGCATGTACCTTAGTTGCAGGCACATTCCCAGTAGGGGGTGTGCAGGAGGCAGCTGATGGATGTTTCTCTATCATCAATGTTTCTAACTCTCTATCCCTCTCTCTTCCTCTCTGTAAAAAATCAACAAGATAAATTTGAAAAAAAGAAAAAGAAGTGAAGTTTCTGGATTAGGCCGGCCCCTTTACAGGAATAGTGACTCCTGACATAATATTCTCAACCTCGTGTTGTTTTCTTAGGGGTTATATTTCATGAGCATCTGGGGGCTGGGGGTAAGAATTGCTCAAAAGAACAGAAGCTTTCATTTGGATGACTTAGAACAATGACTCCATTCAAGGGACCAGGGTGGGATGGGCAGGAGTAATGCAATTGAGGAAGAAAGGAATAGATCAAGTGTGAAAATTCTGTGCCAAACAGCCTCCACAAGCTTCCTTCCAGCTAATCTGACCCTTTTCAACAAGAAGCATGAACTAAATTGTTGCTTTGATGATCTTTCCACTTTTTTCCCACTGAGGTGAACATGGAAGCCGTATGGCATCTATTCATTTGCAGCCCTACAAGAGAAGGCTCTGGGCCAAACGTGAATAATGAGCTCTTCCCCTGGTGTCAGTCAACAAGTGATGCTCGTTAGTAAAGCTAACTCAAAACTGGCCCGTCACCTCCCTGGAGTTGTACTGTGCACACGAAGTAGCTGGCAGGTGTCTGCATACTTCCCATGTGCCCACTCCATGGCACAGGCAACCTGCTGCTGAGCAAGGTATTCTGGGGCAAAGGGGGAGGGAAAACAACTAGAAAAGTATTCAAAATAACTCACTATCTCCTACTTATTTGTCCATCTGTCATACACAGGATTTATTTGTTGCCTAGGGCCTGGTCGGCAAACTGCGGCTCGCGAGCCACATGTGACTCTTTGGCCTTTTGAATGTGGCTCTTCCACAAAATACCACGGCCTGGGTGTCTATTTTGAAGAAGTGGCATTAGAAGAAGTTTAAAAAATTTGGCTCTCAAAAGAAATTTCAATCATTGTGCTGTTATTTGGCTCTGTTGATTAATGAGTTTGCCGACCTCTGGCCTAGGGCAATAAGATGTTTTTCCAAGGGTGGTCCTTGGACCACAGGCATGAGAATCACGTGTGCTTTTAAATTCAGATTCTTGGGTCCTACCTCACACCTACTGAATCTAAATCTCTGAGGAATGGGCCTGAGAATCTCATTTTTTTCATACTATCCTTCCCTCCGAACCCCCAGGTGATTTTTATACAAAAGAAAATTTGAGGATCTCTGTTCTAGAGAACACACTCTTCTCTGAAAGTCAGGGGAAGTGGTTTCCTAGTCCCAACTTTCCTTTTAGCTTAGCAAGCTTCCTTTTTATCATGTCTCGGGTTGGATCAGGAGTCATCAAAATATTTTAAGATAATTATAGATTTACATGCAGTTTTAAGAAATAATACCCATACCCAGTTTCTCCTCAATGGCAACATTTTTTTGTAACTAGAATAAAATATCAAAAGAAAGAAAGAAATTGGCATAGATACAATCCATCTATTTTATTTAGATTTCACTAGTTTTACACTCCCTCATTTGTGTATGTATAGTTCTGTGTAATTTTATCACTTATAGATTTGTGTGACCATCACAATAAAGATATAGAATGATTCAGTAATTTCTACCTTTTCTCTTTCCTTTCTACTTTTTCTCTCCTTCCTTCCTTCCAATTCTCATCCATTGATTTTTAGAGAAAGTGGAAGGGAAGAGAGACGTCCATTGGTGGTCTCCTGCACCCCTGGGGATGAAACCCAAACCAGGTATGTGTCCTTGACCAGGAATCAAACCTATGACCCTTCCATGCATGGGAAGATGCTCCATCCACTGAGCAACACCAGCCAGGGCTGATTTAGTAATTTTAAAAATGGGAGTTCAACCTAGGTGCTTCAAGGGATATTGTAGTGAAGAGGGAAAGAGAAGGGTTAGGCGAATTAAGTGGGATTTTAGGCACTTTCTCTTTAAACAGTCCGTCTTTATCTGTTTATATACTGAGACTTACCTATACTGGTGAAAGAATCCCATAGCTAAAAGCCTTTGGTTTAGTCCAATATTTTCATTTATATATGAAGAAACTATATGCACGTGTATCAATGTGCCCCAGCACATACAGATTTATTATTCAATCTGCTAATAATCAACATTGATCTACAAAGTTAGCTAATGATCAACATAACATAAACCACTTAGAAATTGCCCCCTTCCCTTCAAACGTAAAATCCTTAAGTTTAGCAACATATAAGTTAGGACCTTTTCCCACCTTAATTGTCAGGAGATACTTTGAGGTTCATTGCCTGGCATATAGTCATCAATCAGTGCCTCCAGGAACTACTGGACTTACATTGGCAAACAGAGTTTGAATAATTGATGAAAATGTATATTATACATCTCTTCATTTCCTTTTAATAATTAAAGAAATCGTTGTAAAAAAAAGTGTCCCATTCTTCTATGATAAACCTAACGAAGTGTAATGTATAGAATAGAATGTACACTGTATTCTTCACTGGTTTTATAGTATCTGGAGAAACGTATTCAGTTCTATGGAAAATTTTAATAGGAATATTTGCGACTGGAGTCTTTGGAAGGGAACTACTGCGTCTAAAAGTAAGTCATGAGAGAATAGAAAAATAAGACAGGAATTGGAGTATGGGACATATTTTGCCCATATAAAAATTTGGATGAAAATAGCATAGTTTTTCTCAAACGTTTAGAAAATAATACTGTGAAGGAATTACTGTATATCTGTGGGGCAAAACCAATGGGTGAAGGTAACAAAGAAATACATTTGCCACTCAATATATGGAAAGCATTTATATAATCAGCTGCCTCAAAATGGAATGGAAGGCCTTACAGAGGAGTGATCTTCCTATTACTGAAATCATTCAAGCAGAGGCTTATAAAAGATGGTTCCGAAGAATTTTTATACTGGGCTAAAGATTGAACCATATGATTTCTAAGGTATCTTCCAACTAAAAACTGCATGATCGAGGCAAGAAACTCTAATAGTAGTTTAAATCCAGGTCTGCCTTCTTATGCAAACAAAACAAGAAAAACAAAACCACCCAAAACTGATTTGCTTATGTGAGTAGGCTTTCCTTTTGAGAAATTGATATACTTTAATGTATTCTTTTTTTCGCACCTTTCATGCTTAAAGGTGAATGTATTCAGTTCCTTTTCATGCAGTACATAGTCAAGTACCTATGTGCTTGTTATTCCTTTTCCAAATCAATTTTGAGACAACCTCTGAGGATCCACCCATCCTCCGATGTGAGCCATCTTGCACTATGTTTTAGGAAATATCTTATAAAGGGGAAAAGGAACATTCTTTTCCTACAGACTAGTCAGGTGGGAGTATTCTGGGAGGAGAGCTAATGCCTACTCTCTCTTCCGGCGTTGCTGGAGGCTCACGGTACGGCCGTATCCAGTTTGTACCAACAAATGCCTTATAGAAGCCATTCAGATCCGCCACAGCAGGGGGGGAGGCACAGAAGAGGAGGAAGAGGAGACTTGATGTCCTAAGATGAAGAGGCTAGTAGGTGGAAAGCCCAGGAATAACGGAAACGGAGTTGACCTCCTTAGGATGACATGCCAAGCAGGAAGCCTCCAAGAAATCCACCCGCCATCAGAATGTTCGACTTCACAAACAACGCGATCTCCTCAGCTTTGCTTTTCACCTCCATAGGTATGTGGGTGCTCCTTTGGGACTTCAGATGTTCCTTGGCTTTCTTCATGTCCCTCTCTACTTGTTGCCAGTCAATTTTGATGTACTCAGCATGGTTTGCAAGCTGAAGGAGAAAAAACCCTCCTCCCACTGCCGTGGCAGCCAACCTTCCAACTTTCTGGAATATGAAGCCGGTGCACCATCCAGTGACACCTCCAATTAACAGCTGGGTTGCCATGCTGCCCTTCTCAGTCGAGAGCTCAGATTCATTGTCGAAAAGCTTGTGCCACCATCGCTGCTTTTCAGCCAACTCTGCAAGGTCCACTATGTCAAAATGTCCCTGACTGGACGCGGATGCTTCAGCGAGGGGCTCTTGCGATGCCACCCTTGAAGGCTGGGCGCCGCTGGCCTGTGGGTCAGATGTTTCCATTCCCACGGCCGCAGCGGAAGAGGGCGGACTGTGCTGGCCGCAGCCACTCCCCCCCCACTCCCCCCGCCCCTACCCATGCGTGCAACTGCGTCACAAGGCTCCTGGGCCGTATCCAATGGATTCATGTTTTGCAGCAGATATTCACTGAGCCCCTATTGTGTGCCTAGTCCTGAGGATACGTGTTATTAAAGAGGATGTGACAACGTACAGAGAAGGGTCTTAACCTATATTGGCAAAGTGTGAAAGAGCCATGATACGAGATGGTGTGTGTTTGTATACTATGTTCCAAATTAATGTGAATCCTATGTTATGAATGAAAAGTGACTATTATAAGAATAAACTCATTTAAAAGTTGCAGGGTAATATATTAAAGAGTCTAGAAGGTAATTTAATTTTTTTTTTTTTTCAGAGAGGAAGGGAGAAGGAGAGAGAGAGAATGAGAGAAAACCGGTGATTGGCTGCTGCCTCCTGCACACCCCTAACGGGGGATGGAACCTGCAACATGGGCATGTGCCCCAACCTGAATCCAAACATTACCTCCTGGTTCATAGGTCAAGGCTCAACCACTGAGCAACACTGGTCCAGCTAGAAGATGATATAAAAAATTATATTCAGTCAGGTACTAAAGACAAAACAGACAATGAATTATTTTATTTTATTAAAAATTTCCAGTTTATAACCAAAATATACAACAACTACATTTAAAATCAGTTTGTACACTCACAGTTAAAGTGCTAAGTAAAAACATTTACAAAAACCGACAGTAGTCTACTGTAAACAAAATAAATCTACAAGAGCAGAGTGCAAAGCACATCCAGCTAATGTAAAAATACAGTTCATGCTCTAATCAAGTGCACTTGCCCTATACACATCTCAACAATAGTAACTTTCCCACTCACTTGGAAATGAACAATTTTCAATACACAAAAGAGAAACATGAAGAACTAATTCCACAAAATACGTCTTTAGCATAAACACTTTCTAACTAGATGTTTATATGATAAAGCAAGATTAAAATTTTAGAATCAATATTAGAATTACCTTGTAATTTAATCCAAAACAGGTTTGGAAACTCAATTGCTAACTGCCAGCCATTTAAAAATAATAGTTTTTAAAGGAAAATAATGAAAAAAATGAATAACTTTTCTTCCTTTATATCTCTTGAAAAGAGAAGGTGGTAGTCATTCTTGATAATAGTAAAATGAATATTTTTTTTTTTTACAACAATGGACAATGTTCACCTGTAAATTTAATATCAATGAGTAGAGCTGGAAGACAGGCCAAGTTGAAAGGTTGGCTAAGACTGAAACACAGGGCATCTCAGGAGAATAGTATGGATGATGGATACCTACGATGCTCTGGACACAACCTTAAACTTAAAAATAAAAATAGGATCAGGAAAAAAAAAATAGGATCAGCATGGCATTGACTTCATAGAACACATAATTACAAGTGACTAGCTCCCTTCCTCAAGATCACTAAAAGTATACAGCACTTTTAGACATTTCATGGGTTTGGTGAAAGGGGCAGATTCCCACATTAGGTCATTTAATATCTCTTGCCTCACAATAGTCCCATCAACACTAGTGAGATTATTTCCACTTTTGTCTTAAAGCTTAATATTCTATTAACTGATAGTAATTTGCACTGGCAATAATGTATTTGTTCTATTTATTTATTTTAAATCTTTATTGTTGAATAATGTGTTTGTTCTTAAATGCAGATTTCTCTTTAAGACAGAGGTAAAAGGGCTATAGTCCCCAACACTTTAATAAGTTAAAGCAAATTTCCTTCTTCCTAACACTTTCAGATAAGTTATACTTTGGAAGTATTGATAAAGAAGACTGGAGATAAAAGGCAGCCCTGTCCGTGTGGCTCAGTGGTTGAGCGTTAACCAGGAGGTCATGGTTCGACTCCCGGTCAGGGCACATGCCTGGGTTGTAGGCTCAATGCCCAATAGGGGCACTGCAGGAGGCAGCCAATTGATTATTTCACATAATTGATATTGCTCTCCCTCTTTCCATCTCCCTTCCTATCTCTGAAATAAATACTTTTTTTTTTTAAAAAGCAGATAGTAATATCTTGGGGATTGTAAAGGAGCAGGTATGTACCTGAACAGACTCATGGTATCAACTAAGAAGAATTGTACCAAGCAGTTATTGAGAGATCAAAATAAGCTTTCTCCACTATAAAAGTTTATCCAAAACTAAGACACCAGATTAATACTGGAATGTACAAGATCAACTCTTGTTAGCTAACCTGTTACCCTTATTATTCATAATATTATTTATATGAAGAGCTGTAACAACATCTGAATTTAGGACAACTCAATTTACAACCTTTTAGATCACAGCTGTAAGGAGATTTCATTGTAGAAGAAGCTTCATATTTATATATGTTTTTATACTCACTTTTTTCTTATCAACCTGAACTCTCTCTATATAAAAGCCTAAGCAACTGTTTGACAATTAGAGCAAGAGTATTTATTTCAGTAACAAAACAATACATAATAAAGACAATGATCTTTAAAAGTAACAGAAACCTCCTTGGCCTGGTTCTTAGAAAACACAAATCTAAAAAAGAGAATTCTGTAGAGAGCTAAAGAAGCTTTATGGAAACATCTGCACAGCCAGAAAAAAATTACAAATAACAAATCACATGTATCTCTAATAATATTTTAAAGCAGGATACATACATGTTCATGGCAATTTAGCAACTGTATTCACTCAATGAATCTAAGAATACAGCATAAAAATAATTGTTGAACAGAAAAGTTTCAATATACTCTGAAATTCCTTTTATATTTTATAATTATTTTAATGTTGGCAAACCTGGTAGCTTTTTTCTTTTGTTAATCCTCATCTAAGGATATTTTTTCCATTAATTAAAAAAAATACTTTTAGTGATTTCAGAGAAAAAAAGAAGAGGGAGAGATAGAAACATCAATGACGGTACATCTACACAATGGAATATTATGCTGCCATAAAAAAGAAGAAATTCTCATCATTTTCAGCAACCTGGGTGGAATTGGAGAACACCATGCTGAATGAAACAAGCCAGTCAATGAAAGAGAAACACCACATGACCTCACTTATTTATGGATGATAAAGAACATTATAAACTGAAGAACCAAAAGATATAGACAGTAAATCAACAAGCAGACTGTCAATTACAGCAAGGAGTTAATGAGATCTGGGGAAGATAAGAGATCAACCGAAGGACTTATATACATGCATATAAGTACAACCAATGGACACAGAACTCTGGGGAAAGAGGGCATGTATGGGGGGGAGGCAATGATATATGTACAAAGATAATAATCTAAATTAAAAAAAGAAAAGAAACATCAATGATGAGAGAAAAATCATTGATTGGCTGCCTCCTTCACACCTACACTAGGGATCAAGCCTGAACTGTGACCTCCTGGTTCATAGATTGACACTTAACCACTAATCCAAACTGGCAAGGGCTCTGATAGCTTTTTAATTTGCTATATGGGCCAGTATCACTGTGTGGTTTGTTCAAAGTTTAGGCTAACTAGTTATATTTATATTTAAGAGAACAAAAACCACATTATATATGTCATTTTTTCTGTATGTAAATTTGAGGTGCTTATATTGGTGCTTTAGAAGAATTTTTACATAAAGTTTACATGTAAGCTTTCTTTCACTTTTAATACAATTTTCCTCCTTTAAAATTACTTAAAGTCACGAATGGGAAACAAAGTTAATAACATATCTGAATCCTATCAATTTAAGAATAAATTGCATTAACAGTACAGATTAATCTAGTAAATATAGTTCATGGATATTGATAATGATTATAAAATGGTTAAGAAACAAACATATTAGAGACAGGTGGAATTTGAGACTACCTAATCTAATGGCCTTGTTTCTTTCATTTACAAATGAGAAAACCTAGGTCCCAAGAGGTAAAACTCCAAAGTTACACAGTTCATTTAGAAGAGAGACAAACCTAGAAATCAAGTTGCCTGACTCAAAATTCAGTGGTACTCAAAAATAACATAATCCCTTTTTACTAAGCATTTAAAAAACTGCCAATTTAGAAAACAGAAATTATTTAACTCTATACAGTTTTATTCTTTTAAGCCAGTAAGTATAACACACAAAAAAATAGCTGTAAATTAGTAATGTAAACAAACTTATATAACAAAAACCCCAGGTCAATAGTAAAAATAATAATAATGTAGTTCACCCTATTGCAGGAAATATGATAAAATAAAAAGCATGAAAAATATCAGTCTTATAAATACTAGTAGGGGCCCAGTGCACAAATTCATGCACCTTGAAAGGAACTATGGGCTGGGAGGCTGCAGTGGACACAACAGCAATCTCGCATCCTCTGTGCCCCACCCAGCTCCTCCCACCACAGCCCCCTAGTCCCGTCTGCTGGCAGCCCTGCTCCTGCCACCACCGCTCCTATGCACTAACAGTGCCAGAGTCGCTCTGCACCATCAGCGGGTGTGAGTGGCAGCTGCTGCCCCAATCGTCCCTCAGGAGCAGGGGGAGGTGGAGAAGCCCTCAGGTGCGATCGGGGCCAGCAGCTGCTGCTTGCACTTGACGACAGCGCTGAGCAATCGGGGCTGGCGCTGGGCACTGGCAGCAGGTACAAGCAGTAGCTCCAGCGCTGGCAGCATGGGGAAAGCGCCTGACAGGACAATGGCACATGGGAGCAAAGTATTTTCAGTAACCACCAGAGGCTTGCCCCAATAACAGTGACCAGTGCCCTGTCTTGGTCTGGCGCCCCTGCTCATCTACTTCACCAACCCGCTGCTGTCATCACCTGCCATGTTCCACACTCGCCTCCTGGTGGTCAGCGCATGTCATAGCGACCGGTTGTTCAGTTGTTCCACTGTTTGGTCTATTTGCATATTAGGGTTTTTTATATATAGATGTTAATAGCTAATGGTAATTATGAAAAGTATGGAACTCTGAGTTCTCAAAATCTAAATTACAATATAAAAAAACACTTGTTTTTGTATTAAGTTAAACTGGTGACAGTGGCCAATAGAATAGGAATAAATTCTGAGCAACGTTATCATATCTTGAAAAATGTCTAAGAAAGGACACAATAAATTTTCTAAGGTGATTCTTTAAAAAACAATAATCTGCCCTAACCAGTTCAGCTCAGTAAATAGATCATTGGCCCATGGACTGAAGGGTCCTAAGTTCGATACCGGTCAAGGGCACGAACCTTAGTTGTGGGCACATTCCCAGAAAGGGGTATGTAGGAGGCACCTGATCTATGTTTCTCTCTCACTGATGTTTCTAACTCTCTATCCCTCTCCTTCCTCTCTAAAAAAAATCAATAAAATATATTTAAAAAATAATAATCTGAAGACACTTATCCTTCAATGCATTTAAATAGGTTGAACTACTCTTTTAAAAAAAATATTTTATTGATTTTTTTACAGAGAGGAAGGGAGAGGGATAGAGAGCTAGAAACATCAATGAGAGAGAAACATTGACCAGCTGTCTCTTGCGCACCCCCTACTGAGGATGTGCCCACAACCAAGGTACATGCCCTTGACTGGAATCGAATCTGAGACCTTTCAGTCTGCAGGCTGACACTCTATCCAATGAGCCAAACCGGTTTCGGCAATTGAACTACTCTTAAAGGAAGTAATGTTGTACTGGTATAGTATCTGGCAAAAACATAAGTGAAACTTCCTTTTACCTTTATAGCAACAAAATTTTACTAGAGAGAAATCAGAGAATAAGAAATAGGCTTATTAACTAATTATATTACATCTTTATGTATCAACCAAAATAATAAAGTCTACAAAGATGGCTAGGACGACCTTAACATTTCCCCCTAGATTTTGGATCCTGAGAGAAAATTATAATCATATATGAATTTGCCTATAAAAGAAATCAAGGATTAAAATTAAATTAGGAAAAAACTCTAGGAAACTGATTATAGTTATATGGGAGGTAAAGGTTGCTTGATCTTCCTATTCCTTTCTCAAAACTCATATAACTGGAACAAAAGAGAACGGTAGAAAATTAAATTATGAGGAGATGACAATATTATTTTTTCATATAAAATAGAAATAAGAATGTATAAAATTATACAGCTTATCAGAAACATAGTTGAATTAAATGTAAATACCTTATCTCGTTTAATCAGTTATAAGAAGGGATAAAAGAAATGTGAAAGAATCAAGAGTTCCTTTGTAAATCTTGGTTTTATAAGGTGTCTTTTATCTGCTTATATCGGGGGAAATGGAGAAAGTCTTGCCATTTAGGCAGGTTTAAAAAATTATATATACAAACACAGAAACAATTAAGATAATGCCTTACAATTTAAAGTTTTGCAGTGATGGAAACTAATAATTTAATCACCTTTTAAAAACTTGTTCTTAATCAGAAAGAATTAGGCACATGAAAGTCCTCAAAGAAAACAAGTAATAAGGCTTACACTTCTTATATTTTTCTTACAATTTCAGTGAAGCCAAGTGATTTTATATAATTCCAAATCGAAGATATCATATGCTGGAGATCCCTAATTTCTGTTGAAAGGGACCTACAAATTCATCATATAAAATTTGAGAGCCTACTGTATTTTAGAGAGCTAACACAATTTAAGGACAGAGCTACTCTTGAAAAAGAATCTCATTTTTAAAAGGATAATTGGATTGCTGATTTAAACATTGTACCAAATGAATACTGGTCTAATTGCCTGCTTTGTTGTTACTGCTATATACCACTGAAAACCATATCCTTATTTTCTACAACCCCCAAATTTTAACAGAAACATATAAGTAGATCAATTTATAGATTACAGAGCATTACATGTTATCTCATTTGATCCTCACATATTCTGTGAGGTAAGTTGGGACCAAAAATTGCCTTATCCTCATTTTACACTGAAGACATTGAAACTAAGAGAATTTAAATGACCTGTGCACTTCACACCATAATTATGGATCTTTGAATTCCAAGGCCAGTGGAATTTTCATTATACTAGACTATGTAATTCATACAAGTATGATAATATATATATAAATGTACCTTTGGCATGTCAAAAGCGGTTTAAATATCACAAGAGTGAAATTTTGGTATATTAATGTTTTCTAAGTTTTAGCCAATGATCCTCTATTTTGTAAAAAAAAAATTAAGTTGTTCATTTTATTTCATAGGGCTATAACCTAAATCAAGACAGTTATAATTTCAGTTATTTTCAACTATTATCACAAAGAAACTGAGATTAAAATGTTGAAAAAAATTTTCTAATTTGAAGAGATTTTTAAAATGTTGAAAAATTTTCCAATTTGAAGAAATTCTTAGATTTCTAAATCTGCTTTAAGAAGAAACAGAAAGAGAAAATTATTACTAATGAAGGTCTGCTTAAGTATTTATCACCCAACTAATACACAAAGATCTAATTTCACATAAAACCAAAAAGAGCCTAAATACTTCTAAGAATAGCTCTCACCATTAAAAATAAATAAAAAATGTTAGTACAAGTTTGTATATATATATTTCTTTAGTTTAAATAGTAATATGGACTGTTACTATAGGGAAAATATGTTTCATTTGGTATAATTTTCTTGTTTCTTATTTCTTGCAACATGTTATTTTGGTAAAGTAGACTTAATTTCACTTAGTTTAAATTCAGATCCTTCAAATTTTTTTGAAGTGAGGCTCACTGTTAGAGTAAAAGTGAGTTGTATGACATGTTATTCATTTATTTATTAAAAAATTTACTATGTACTAAGCCCTTTGCTAGTTATTGAATTATTAATCAATTATTCTTTGAAGCTATTATTTTGAGCTTAATATTGTCTTAGATCTGTTAATTACTGAATAAATTAAACAAAATATTGGTGAAATCAAAGTACTTTTTGAAAACCTTTTGATTATATATTAACATTTGAGAGAGTACTATTATTTTCTCAGCTGTCAACTGAATGAACAAAACACTAAACATTATCATGTGCCAAACACAACACAAATTAAACATATGGTAAGAAAGCTGGCAGATTTGCTCAAATTGGCTTAAACTAGTTGAAACTTGAAATGCTGTTTGCTACATATAGTTCTTCAACTGTCTTTGAAAAATAAATTAATTTGGAGCACTAGTTTGATAAATAACATAGCCCAAACTAAATATTGTTATCCAAAACCATGAGTTAATAATATTAAATAAATTTTGTGGTGCAAAATTAAGATACTGGAAGTATTTTAAGGTCAATAGAAGCCAGGCCTCTTGGGAGTTTAGAATACTTTTCTGAACTGAAATGTCAATATAGCATTTACATATATATCAACAGTTTAATAGAGAAGATATAAATGAATAAAAAATAAAAAATCAAGAAGCAAGAATTAATATTTTCACAAGTTTCAATTAACTGTCTATACTTGGCCATTTGTACAAGAAAACCAATTAACAGTTTGGCAATTCATAATATAATGCAGATGGCGAAGACTGACAACATCTTTGAGCTCAAACTGGTACCTTCTATTTTAACTTCTTATTTTTGTTTCTGAATGCTTGTGTTGGTCCTCTCATGCTGTTCTCAGGAGAGAATCTCAGACAAAAGCTTCATGAATTGTTCATTTATTTATAAATAAGTTGTAAATTTGGCCTTCAAAGAAAAGGTTTACGCTGAAACCAGTTTGGCTCAGTGGATAGAGCGTCCGCCTGGGGACTGAAAGGTCCCGGGTTCAATTCCTGTCAAGGGCATGTATGTTGGTTGGGGGCGCATCCCCAATAGGGGGTGTGCAAGAGGCAGCTGATTGATGATTCTCTTTCATCGATGTTTCTAACTCTCTATCCCTCTCTCTTCCTCTCTGTAAAAAATCAATAAAATATATTTTAAAAAAAGGTTTAATAGATGTCAATTATGAGGGAATTTACAATGTCTTGAACACTTACTCCAATTCCAAGGAGAAAGACAATGAAGACAAAGGGGGGAAAATTACATTTTGGGCCAAATGTTCAAATATATCTTGTGAAGAATAATAAAAATATTAACATATACTTTGAAAAAAACATGATAAATTGTTACCAGAAAACTGACTTTTGTGTCTGATAAAAGCTACTTTTTCTACACCTAATTCTTTGTTACTTTTTGCTTTTTTTAAAAAAGTAAAAGTACATATGAACCAACACATGTCATGATAAAAGCCTTCAAATCTCTTAAATCCTCAATAATCTTAATCCCTTATATTTTAGTTTTCAAAGAGTTTTCATATGATTTTTCATTTGGTCCCCTATTTGACAACTTTGTGAGGTAGGTATTTATCTTTTATCTTCATTTACAAACAAGGGAACTAAAGCTCAGAGAAGTTGACTTTTTAAAGGTCAAAAGCCAGCAAATGACAAAGCCAGGCCTCTCTGGAGTTTAGAATATTTTCTAAGGTGTCATTCTTGGATTACCTGCATAAGAACCACCAATGGTATTTTTATAACTACAGATTTTAAATTCTGACAGAATGAGAATTTTTGGGAGTGGAGTCAGCATTCCACATTTTATAATGGACAAATAAAGTGGAAAACAATTTTGTATCAGATAATGATGTAAAATATTGAGTCCACCTAGATTTTCATGTGATATGAGATACCATCAGATCATCATCAGGGGCAAATCAGTTTAAAACAGCCTGCAGCCTGGCTACAGATTAGAATCACCTGGAAAACTTATTTAAAAACCTATCAATTCTCATCTGAATGAGAGGAAGGCTTGGGCATCAGAGGTTCTCCAAATGATTCTCATCTCTAGTCAGGGTTGAGGACATGCTTGTTTAAAATGTTTTTCTATACATTACACCTCACATTTTCCAAAAAATTTCTTTCCCTTCTGATCAATTTCATGCCTAATATAGTTACCAAGTTTTTATTGTAAATTATTTAAATGTTACAAGACAAAATGTCAAAAAATTTTGAGTTGATATTTTTAAGATTACAAGGTACTTCACAGCAAGACTAATCATGCTTCATTTAGTTACAGTGATTTTTCAGATACCCCATATAAATAACCACTTTGGACCTAGGTTATATATATTTCAGCTGTAAACAAGACTTATCCAAATCTGAATACAAGGGAGAGGGCAAAAGCTGTAGCCTATTTGCTACTGGGCAATGCAAGTACAGACAATCAACTCATTGATAGGAAGGGCTGGATGCCAAGATCTGGTGGCTTTGGCAAGATCACATCTCACTGCAGAAAAATACAACAATGAATACAGAGAAAACATTTTGCCATTTTGTAATTGTGGTTACCACAAAAAACCCTTATAATGGGTGATGCTTATCTTATTACATGCCTCCATGGAACAGATTTGAACATAAAGTTCTCTACGAATATTATAATACTACATGGGAAAAGATGGCTACAAATTATTTTTTCCATCATGCATATGGAAAGAATATGGAGAAGTTATAAAAACACTGGAAGTAAAAGGAATATTTACAAAAGTAATGAAAACAATTCACTTATAGGGGAAAAATGGCCAGTGATACTCCTAATCCTGTATCTCTCTGGATGAAATTTATTTTGGTAGAATTTTGAAAGAGCCTTCAATACTCTAATCAGATTCTTCTGCTGATCTTTTATTCTATTAGTTAAAATACCCTTGCTGATTTATCAAATTCTCTTACAGTTTAAAACTACAGTTCTTTTTCACTCATGGAAATAAAACTACAAAATCCTACCATTCATCCAAGAAATAAACCTTGCATAGAAAATTCTTTAATTCTGAAATTTTGTTTTATTAACAGAACAACCAGAATGTTATCTCACAACTAGTTGATATTATATATGAAAGTTCACTACAAAGCAGTCACCACACATTTAGGATTTTTTCTAAATATAAAATAGTGGGTTTATAAAAATGCTTACCAAATAATTCTCTCTTCATTTCCTAGAAATAAGAATTATTTATGTGACAATATAATTTTAAGACGCCTTGATATTCCAAGTTTGATGCAATATAAAAAGCAAAAATTTACTTTTCCAATGGACACAATCTGCACCTGACTGAACGCATGATAACAGTGAGTTACAGCAGTCAGTCATGCTAAAGGCAAAGAATAAAATCTGCTTTGTAAACGGCACAAAATTTCCACCTTAGACAGGATAAATTAAGCACTGGTTCCATCTTCTTCAATAACACGGTTCATGCTGGTGCCATGTGTAATGTGAGTCATAGGATTATTACTGAGATCCCGGATGCTGCTATGTCGTGACTGTTCATTGAGACGATGAGAACTACTGTGCCTGGAGTGATCCGTTAGTCGTGACATGCTGCCATGAGGTAGTCTCTCTTCCATTCCTCTGTAACTGCAGGGAGTATACCTAGTACAGGAGAGTTTATTTTGAAGCGAGTAATAGAACACACTAGAAAAATAACACTAAATTTTGCATGAAAATGCTGCACTAAATGAAATAATTAGGAAAACAATAAATGAAAAAGTAACAACCACCTTTGATGATTTACAGCAATTTCATTTAACACTAGAATTATTCATATGGCTAACCAAAAAAAAAAGGAAGAAAATATACTCATTAGATTCAGAATCAAGGTCCTATCCTTTGCAAAAGGACAGAAGTTAAGGTTAATTTTCTCCATTCAAATAAGTTATGGGTTACGGGGTGAGTTCAGAAAGAGGAGGGAAAATAATGGAGGAAAGATGACACTGATCAAAACTTTGATAAATCGGAAGTGTAGAAAATTGGCTATAGCCGAAACCGGTTTGACTCGGTGAATAGAGAGTCGGCCTACGAACTGAAAGGTCCCAGGTCAGGGGCATGTACCTTGGTTGCGGGCACATCACCAATGGGGGGGTGTGCAAGAGGCAGCTGATTGATGTTTCTCTCTCATTGATGTTTCTAGCTCTCTATCCCTCTTCCTTTCCCTCTGTAAAAAATCAATAAAATTATTTTTTTAAAAGAAAATGAGCTATAATATCGATAAGAAGTATAGCAACTCAAATTTACTAAAGATTAGGAAGAGGGAGCATATGAAATTAGAGGAGAAATTAGTGTAACCAAAAAGGAAAAGAAAAAAAAGATGAATGAACTGGCAAGCAACAATGACAGTATGTGCTGACATCTTCTTTCCAGATAGCCCAGTTAACAATTAAATTAACTATTGTAAAAGGTGTTAACTATTTTTCCTCCGGAGCTGTGAGCATACTATGCTATTTTATAGAAGATACATCTACTTAAGTATATATAACAACATCCTAATACACTATGACTTACATTCCTGCTAAAGCAAATTCTCTCGCTATCCAGAACAAAGAACTTTTGAATATGCTATCTGGGCTAACTGCTTATTGTGGACGGTCTTCTCCTTCATCATTGTACTTATCTTGAAAGCAGCAATGGGGAGCTGTTAAATTTTCTTTTGTTACAATCCTGACTCACTGAGCCCTCATCAAAGATAAGAATACTCATACTCAGCCAGGACCGGTTTGGCTCAGTGGATAGAGCGTTGGCCTGCGGACTTAAAGGTCCCAGGTTCGATTCTGGTTAAGGGCATGTGCCTTGGTTGCGGGCACATCCCCAGTGGGGTGTGTGCGAAAGGCAGCTGGTCGGTGTTTCTCTCTCATCGATGTTTCTAACTCTCTGTCCCTCTCAATTCCTCTCTGTGTAAAATCAATAAAATATATTTTTTTAAAATTAATTAAAAAAAAAGAATACTCATACTCAGATGTACACCTTTTTGTAAAAAGTATTTAATTTAGGATAACAAATCTCAAAGAAAACTTAACTGAATATAATTTATAACTTTAACATATTAAATTTTAAGTAATGTTTCTAAAAATAAAAAAGAATATAGCAGGCCATTTCTTTTTTAAATAGTCATCAAAATAATCATATGCAGCTGAAGACCTATTGGGTGTCAAAGCATTCATTTATCATTCCTTCATAATTATAACAAATTTCATGACTCAATATGAATCATTTATAAAATTAAAAATTTTTAAAAACTATGACTTTACTGATTTTAGAAAGAGGAAAAGAGAGATAAACATCAATGATGAGAGGATCATCAGTTGGCTGCTTCTTGTATACCGTCACTGAGTATCAAGCCCACAACCCAGACATGTGCCCTGAACAGGAATCCAATAGAGACCTGGTTCATGGGTTGATGCTGAAACACTGAACCACACTGTCTAGGCTAAAATGTAAAGATTTTGCCGAAGCCTGTTTGGCTCAGTGGTAGAGCGTCGGTCTGCGGACTGAAAAGTCCCAGGTTCTATTCCGGGCAAAGGCATGTATCTTGGTTGCGGGCACATCCCCAGTAGGGGGTGTACAAGAGGCAGCTGGTTGATGTTTCTCTCTCATCAATGTTTCTAGCTCTCTATCTCTCTCCCTTCCTCTCTGTAAAAAATCAATAAAATATATTTTAAAAAAATAATAAAATAAATAAAATGTAAAGATTTTAAAGACTGATTCATGAACTTCTGAGGAGATCTAGTTTGACAGCATGCTTATTAAACAGTTTTCATTAGACCACAGATTTTGAAAATTGAAAAGTCCTTTTAAAATTATAAAAGAAAGTATATCTTTTGTTTCCAGTTTTAAATTTTACTTGCATGTTTTGATAATTTGTTAATTGAAAATATTTCAGAATGAGCTTGTTATTCTATTATTATTTTGCAAAACAATTATTGCCTTAACTGAGTGAAAGATTTTTCCAAATTTGATCTGCCAGCTAATTTGAAGCTCTTTCACCTCTCATAACTTCATAAATATTATTTAAAATAAATATGGGAAATAAATCAAATTAAAACAAATCTGCTTCAGTTTCAGGAATGATATCAGAGTAATTAAAAAAAACACACAAAATCACTACTTAAAAATATGAATTGGGTATTTTCTTAAATGAAACCTAAGTATTTTAGTTATATGAATCAAAGAATATATGTTTCACAGGAAAAATTACTATATTGAGTTATCATGTCTATTTATTGAAGTATATGGCTATTCACAAAATTCTATAATATAAACAACCCATCCATGCATAATTAGGAATCAACTACACAGAAAAATAAATGTAATTATAGTATTTAATCTCAATTGTATATGTGGGATTTACCAAGTTTATTTATATTTTGATAATTATTTAAACACTGTGACCATCTAACATACAATATGAAAATGTACATTAATCTTACTTAATATAAGCTTAGGCAAAAACAATTAGTACAATATGTTTAATTTGCTGAAAAGATAATATGGTGTAGTGCAAAGTCAAAATGAAAAAAAAATGAAGATGATTTGTTCTCTGATTCTCTATACCACATGTGTCAAACACAAGGCCCGCGGGCCAAATCCTTGATAGCATGTGAGTTGGTTAACAGCACTGTTAAGGAAAAGATTGTTCCACTCATTTTAAATTCACATTTCTGGTTAACATTGTCAGTTTATGACTGTTCAGTAAACCATTCGGCCCGCGATTTAGGCTGGATTTTAGATTTTGGCCCCTTCTCTGATTGAGTTCGACACCCCTACTCTATACAATGAATAATTCAATTAATTGTAATTTTACTAGTATCTCATTATGCATTCCCTAACTATCCCTTGTAGTAACCACTTTTTACCATCCTACTCACTCAATTCAAATAAATATGGCAAATGAATCAAATGGAAATTTTTTATCTACCTACTCATCCACTTTCTTTTTTATCCATCTTTTATGGGTAAAATTACCCACCTAATCACCTATTACTTATTCTTTGAAGTTGATTTACATGTGTAAGGTATTTGTCTCAAGTGTGTTTATTTTGCATAGCACTGAGGTCAATTATCTATCAAGGAGTCTGGATTAGAGTGAGTAATGTGAAGTGAGTGTGTGTGTGTGTGTGTGTTTGTTTATGTGTGTGTTATTTCATAACCAAGAAATCAATAAGATGATGAGAAAAGGATGACCAAAAGATAATGTTAACAAGTAAACTTAGCCGGGACCGGTTTGGCTCAATGGAAAGAGCGTCGGCTTGGGGACTGAAGGGTCCCGGGTTCGATTCTGGTCAAGGGCATGTACCTTGGTTGCGGGCATATCCCCAGTAGGGGGTGTGCAAGAGGCAGCTGATCGATGACTCTCTCTCATCGATGTTTCTAACTCTCTATCTCTCTCCCTTCCTGTCTGTATAAAATCAATAAAATAAATTTAAAAACAAAAAAAAAAACAAAAAAAAAAACAAGTAAACTTAAATGTTGACTGATAACCCTAAACTCTCGAATCCAATAATTACAGGCTGTAGTTGTTCCTGGTGATTACCGTATTTTTCGGACCATAAGACGCTCCGGACCATAAGACGCACCAGTTTTTAGAGAAGGGAAATGAAGAAAAAAAGGTTCTGAAACAAATAGTGTCCTAAAATATTTTATGTGCATTAAAACCCAACATCACAGTCATAAACACATGTAATCAACCCTGTAAAGTAAACAGCAGCATTTAGAACCATTTTAGAGCCGGGCAAGCACACAGAGACCACACAGAGCCGGGCAAGTAAAAAAACTTTTTTTTTAAAGTATATGTGTAGGCTACATTTGGACCATAAGACGCAGGGACTTTTCCCCCCCACTTCTGGGGGAAAAAAAGTGTGTCTTATGGTCCGAAAAATAGGGTAAGTCCCTATCCCAGTGGTCAGCAAACTCATTAGTCAACAGAGGGGCAAAGGTAACCCGTGAGCCGCAGTTTGCGGACCACTGCTCTAGCCAGTTTGGCTCAGTGGATAAGAGTATTGGTCTGCAGACTGAAGGGTCCCTAGTTCGATTCCAGTCAAGGGCATATGCCTGGGTTGTGGGCTCGATCCCCAATAGGGAGCATGCAGGAGGCAGCTGATCAATGATTCTCTCTCGTACTGATGTTTCTATTTCTCTTTCCCTCTCCCTTCCTCTCTGAAATCAGTAAAAAAAAATATATTTTTAAAAATAACCCTGAATGATGCAAAGAGAAATTTCCATGCAATGGCTTTTGGAATTATGATAATCCCTGTTTAGAGTTTTAGGTTTAATGTGGTCTGAGGTGCTGGGTATGGCAGAGTGTTCTTGCACCACATTATAGAACAACCTTAGTAGGCCACCATTATAGTTCTGGGTCCTGAATTTCTGGGAAATACAGTATTTCTAAAATCATTTGTTACTCAATATACTTGTGTGTGTATGCATGTACAGCCGAGGAAAGACAACTGTATTGAAAATACGTCATACCAAAAGAATTATTAAAAAGTAATTAACTGCCATGGTGATTTCATGACACTATATTTTTGATTCTCTCATATGTGTATAGTATAAGCATTTTCTCTGAATCATATGCTGGCTATTCTATTATTATTATTACTGTAAGGTCTTGTTCTTGATCTATTCTTTTTCAAATTATGACTTAACGGCTTCTCACAATTTTAATTACCAACTCCTTATACTAATGATTATAAACTTCCTTATCGAAGCTCCAGTTCCACTCAGATTACAGAGGCTAAAATTCCCTATGATTAATTACCTTCAGAAATTCTCTATTCAGTATGAACTTATCTTTTGTTACCATTCATTCACTCTATTTATCTTCTCTAAGATACTTTCATGGGCCAATCTGATCTTTCCCTTTTCTAAAGTTCCACAACATCAATCATCTATAGCATTCACTGTTTTAATTATATGCTGGCTTGCACTATTACTTAATTGGTTCTTATGCATATATCTTATCTTCCCTAAAAGATCATATGCTCCTAGAATGCAGAAATTATACTTTAACTTTCTTCTATATATCTCTATATACAGAATACCACATGCATATGCATAAGCACTGTACTAAAAATAACTGTCCAATTCTTATTGAAAAGGAGGCGGCTAATAATATCAAATGTCATATAATGCTGACAGTTATTTCATGGAGGATGGTGTTTACAAAATGTATTCTAATTCCCTCCCTCCTTATGAATGTCTTAAGATAGGACCCCTAAATTCTTACTGTAGAAATTTCCCAACTAAGCTTACTTAAAATCTTCTCACCTAGGTGTTGCCAAAGTGATCATTCTCAAATACAAAGCTGATTTTATCACCACAGTTGCCCACACATGCATACTATGCGGTAGCCATACTCCAGTACCTAACCCCTGCTGTTCTCCTTACCTCTGCATATATATTCTTTCCCTGTCTTTAATTTCCAAGTGCTTCCCCTGAATCATATTCAAAGTAGCAGTGCAATGTTGTTTGTGAAATTTCCTCTGACTTCCCATGATAATTTGATGGTTTTCTTTTCTGGGATCCTAAAGCACCTTGTATATAATTTTTAAAAATATATTTTATTGATTTTTTTTTTTTTCCAAAGAGGAAGGGAGAGGGATAGAAGAGTTAGAAACATCAAGGACAGAGAAACATCAATCAGCTGCCTCCTGCACTCCCCCTACTGGGGATGTGCCCAAAACCAAGGTACATGCCCTTGACCTGAATCGAACCTGGGACCCTTCATCCGCTGGCTTATGCTCTATCCTCTGAGCCAGACCAGTCAAGGCTATAATTTTATTATACACAAGGAAAAAATAGATAAAAGATAGAAAATATAGTTAAAAAAAAAGACTGCTGCTTTTTACAAACAGAGTAGCTGTCTCATTAGAAGGCAAAAGATCTTCTGAGAAGTCTCAATCTAAAAAGTATGGAAATTATATCCTACACTAGGATAGAGAAGACTGAGAGAAAGGTTAGGATGAGATTGAAAAGATATTAGACAGTTATAAAAACACGTTTTAAAGTTAACATAGAATTCTTTCCATTTTAGGCATAAGAATTTTCATTCTTTCAGTTTCCCAAACTAGAAATTGTTAAAAAAACAAAACAAAACAAAAAAAACCCCAAAGAACAATATAACACAAACATTTGATATAGTTCTCTCTAGTTGTTATTAATCCATCATCAATTCCTATTTTTTAATTTCTTCTTTCTAAATATTTTTCAGATAAGTTCTTCCTCTCTTTCCATTGCCACTACTTTCCTGTTAATCTTCATCATCTCTTAACTGAATTATTGCAAAGCTCCTTAGAAGTGTCTAATCATTGGCAAATTTAACAGGAAAATACATCCCCTTCTCTCATTCTCTCTGTGAAGCTTCTCTGATCCTGTGCCCTTCTTATTTTTGTAAGTAAAAATTGACTGGAATATAGTCATTCCCATCTTGACTATATATTATTCATGCTACAATAGCACAAATGAATAGTTACAACAGAGATCGGATAACCCACAAAGCCTAAAATATTTACTATGTGGCTCTTTATAGAAAAAAGTTTGACAACCTCTGGACTAATACAGTCTTCCCTTGGTATCCACCCAGGATTAGTTCTAGGATCCCTGCAGAAACTGAAATCCATGGATAATTGTTTTTATATAAAACTAGAGGCCCGGTGCACAGATTCATGCACTGGTGGTGTCCCTTGGCTCGGCCTGCGGGGATAGGGCCAAAACTGGCAGCCCAACATACAGGGGTCCTGAAGTGTGAGAAGTTGCAGGCCAGGCCAAGGGACCCCACTGGTGCCAGTGCACAGGGCCTCCAATATCCCCTGAGGGGTCCCAGATTGCAAGGGGGCCCAGGTCAGGCCGAGGGACCCCACCGGTATACGAATCTGTGCACCAGACCTCTAGAATGCATATATGATCTTTGGTCAATCTCTTTCCACCCTTCCCCCTCCCCCCTTTCCTCTGAGATTCATCAGTCTGTTCCATGTTTCCATACCTGTGGTTTCCACTCCTGCATTGAGCATCTGCCCCCTGGTGGTCACTGCACATCATAGCTACCAGCCAGTCAGCCAGTTGGTCTGTTGCTTAGGCTTTTATATATAGAGATGGTATACTTGCATATAGCCTATACACATACCCCTATATATTTTAAATCACCCCTATATAATTTAAATCAGGGGTTGCCAAAGGTGGTCTGCAGACCATTGATGGTCTGTTAGGTCTGAAAGGTTAGTGACCGCTGCTTTAAATCATCTCTAGATTACTTACAATATCTAACACAATGTAAATGCAATGTAAGTAGTTTTTTAGTATACTGTTTAGGAAATAATGACAAGAAGAAAAAGTCTGAACATTTTTAAGACAGACACAACCACTATAAGTCAAACTACATTGTACAGGTCAGCAACAATATAACACTTCCCCCCCAGTATTTTCCATGCCCATTTGAATTCCTGAATGCAAAACCCATAGCTAAGAAGGGCCAACTGTACCATCATACTTATATTTACTTTAATTGTTCACTTAAAATAATAACAGAAGTTAATATCAGGCACTTACTAAGACAGGCACTGTTCTAAGCAATTGGATATATTATCTCATTAATTTTTTTACAATAGTCCTAAAGGATATTATTACTATTTCCATTTTACAGATGAGAAAACTGAAACTTATCTTTCCGGATCCCATGTGTAAACAACAACACTAATAGCGACTATACTATTATTCTTAAAAACTGTGAGCTTATTAAAAATATAGGTTATGCCTATATCATCTTTGTATTCCCAGAACAGTAGCTGATATAGTAGGTATTCCACAATTGTTTGCTAAATTAATCTTACTAACATAACCATTTTCATCCTTCCTTCTCCCTACTCAATACCCTTTGATGACTCCATATTTTTTACTGCAGCAAGTCTAAGCTTTAAACTTCTCTGACTGGCTTTATATTGGACCATAATCAGGGACAACTGTTCCTAGCAAAGTTTAAAAAAATTAACAACGTTCAACCTCTATTTCAGAATTGGCTACTCTTCCTTAAGCTGTGTAACTCTAATTCAGCACATGAAATAAACTAAGCTAGCAATAAACTCACCTGCCATCACGAGATCTGTGGAGGCTGCCGTGATAGCTGCTCACTTTGCTGTGGACACTCCCTGCTTTGCTTCTCTGATCATCCACCATAGCCAGCTGAGTTGAAGAAGCATGTGTGGATGTTCCTTGAGTGGAAGTTCCTCTTGATTTCCTTATAATAGGAGTATTTGGATCCCTCAGAAGGGACTGAGCAAAATCAGGTTCTTGGAGTACTTGTCGGCTCTCATTCACTATCCTAGACAACAAAATACTAAGTTTAAGATAAAGATTAACATTCCTATAGACAAACAAATAATACTTTTGTGACGCACTGATATTATTCTTTAAATTAATTGCTCTCCACATAATGTCTTTGGAACAGATATAACATTGTTAATAGAGGAAAGAGTATAATAAAAATTCTTGTGAATCAGCCCAACTGGCATGGCTCAGGGGTTGAGCAACGACCTATGAGACAGGAGGTCACAGTTCAATTCCAGGTCAAGGCACATGCCTGGGTTGTGGGCTGGAGCCCCAGTGTGAGGTGTGTAGGAGGCAACCAATCAATGGTTCTCTCTCATAACTGATGTTTCTGTCTCTCTCTCCTTCTCTGAAATCAATAAAAATATATTTAAAAAAAAATTTGTGTCAATCTGTTCACAAAAGTGATAGAAAGAGGTCTGTGCTAGGATAAAAAAAATAAATATTTTAGTTTCAACTCTATCAACAAATATGTGATCTTAGGCAAGTAACTATCTCCTTTCCTTTTCCTCATCTATAAAATGAAGTTATATTAATCATTTCTAAAAAGTCTCTTTCAGCTAAAGAATTTTATGATTTGCAAGGGCACTGAAATATTACAAAGATATTACTATAAAATAGAGCAATTGTTTTATTGCATTTTTTATGGAAGTAATAGAGGCCTCAGATACATTTTTTAACTTGTAAGATCAGTTGTTTTAAGGCTACAACTTAATTTTCTGATAGAAGCAGTTGTCTAATGCTGGAATAAACGTAAGTGGTCATAATTAGAACAAAAACATGAAAAATTACTTTAAGTAAATTTTGACTGGAAAATAGTCATTCCCAAACTAGAAATTGTTTAAAAAATGTTTAATATATACAAATATATAATTAAGTCTCAGATATATTAAAGACTTAAAGAAAAAAATTAAGGAGATAAATTATTGTCAAGAGCAAAAGTTTTTAACTGTTATGAAAGTGTTAAAAGCAAATGTTTATGATGATGAACAAAGCAGTATTTAAATTAATAAGAGAGCCAATTAAATTGTTGCAAAGATCTGTGTCTCAGTTTATGTAAATCGGTAACTTGAGAGTCAGGATTCAAGTTAAAATTTCATTTAAAAAACAACCACCTCAAATACATAAAGATTGGATCATACAGTGAGAAAGTGCATATATTCTCTTTTAAAATTACAAAAGCATTGTTGTTTTTAGAACTTGGATAGAAGGGCTGAAGGAAAACTGGCATTTGTTAAGTACCTGCATTGTGCCAAGTATTTTAAATACGTCCTTCTTTGAGCCTTTAAAATTTTTTTTATTTAAAATTGATTTTTAGTGTGTTGACTGTTTCTTTGTTTTCCATGTCCATCTCCATTACGGAAAAGGACAGTAGGTTCCTGAGTGGAGGAGCTGGGGATTAAGAAACTAAAGATAGACACCAAGAGGTAGAAATAGATTCATCAAGCTGGGCGATAGGTGGGCGCCATCCTCTCTGATAGAGAGGCAGCAAGCCCCGAGCCATGAGCCACACAGCAGGTTTATTTTATAGGGTCAAAGGAGCTTATTTGCATTCTTAACTTAGGCCCTAGCATTACTGGATTTACATATCTAGACCCGCCCCTGCCGACACCTGGACAAAGGTAGTCAGAAACTGAACACCCCCCCAGCCCTCTTGCGGGAGGGAGGAGGGTGCAACCGGGACACTGCCTCGGGCTCAGCTGACAATTTAAAGGTGGCCCTCTACATTTTAGAGAGAAAGGATGACAGAGAGAAACATCAATGTGAGAGCAAAACATCAAAAGCTTCCTCCTATGTGCCCCTGCCCCAGGGATCGAGGCATGAAACCAGGGCATGTACCTTGACCAGGAATCAAACCTGGAGCAACCTTTTGGTGCACTGTGGGGACAACGCCCAACCAACTGAACCACAATGACCAGGACTACACTTTTTTCCCCCTCAATGTATTTTTATTGATTTCATAGAGGAAGGGAGAAGGAGATAAAGACAGAACCATCAATGATGAGAGAGAAACATTGACTGGCTGCCTCCTGCACACTTTGGGGAAGTGACCTGACTGGGAATTGAACTGTGACCTCCTGGTTCATAGGTTGATGCTCAACCACTGAGTCATGCCAACTGGGCGAGGACTATCCTTCTTAATAATGTTTTTGTTATGGAGACGTATGTCCTGAGAGAATATTTCTAAGAGGATATTAGAATCTATTAAGAATCAACATTGTGGTCCCCATTTTATAGATGAAAAACCGAGGTTTGAAGGGATCAGTGGACTTTCCACAACAAAACCAGTAGTCAGGGATCAAACTTAAGTTTAAGTGGCTTAGAAACCAATCATAAAGTAATGATAAAACAATGTTTACTTAATCCTGAAAACAGTGTCAAAAACTAAATAGAAGAAAGAGTAAGTCAAAAATAGTACTGTCCTAGCTTGGAGGATCACAATGACTTTGTTGAGGAGGTATCCATGATTGCAGAAAACCAAGTAAAAGGATCCTTGGGTACTTTTGTCAGTTTGAAAAAGACTCTGGCCCAACCAGGATCTCCCAATAACTAGAATAATTCCTCATAAGGTAAGGTGACCGGACGTCCCAATTTTTAACAATTTGTCCCGTGACCCTTGGGTTTTAAAAAAGTCTTTCCAAAAATCGGGACTTTTTAAAAACACTATGGGACGCAGGACAAATTGTTAAAAATCAGGACTGTCCTGCCAAAAGCGGGACTCTGATCACCTAATTATAAGGGCAGGTTGGGTGTAGCTCTACGTGGAATTTCTAATACAACCCCATAGAGACATGTGTCAAACACAAGGCCCGCGGGCCAAATCCGTCCCACCAGGCCTTGCAATGTGGCCCGCACCGCGCTGTCATCACTGCACTCCGCTGCGTTTCCATCACAATGACAGTTTATGACTGTTCAGTAAACCATTCGGCCCGCGATTTAGGCTGGATTTTAGATTTTGGCCCCTTCTTTGATTGAGTTCGACACCCCTACCATAGAGAATTGTCTACTAGAGCCCCAGGGCATGAATTTGTGCATGGGTGGGGTCTGGCTGGCTTGCCCCAATAAAGGCCAACTGGGTTGGGCCAGCCGGGGGCATGGGACAGGGGAGGTTGGCTGGCCGGCCCTGCCCCTGAATGGAGTGTATGGGGCCAATCAGGGGCGGGGTTGGCCAGGCGGAGAGGCCCCAGATGGGTTGGTGGGCTGGCCCCATTCCCTTGTCAAACTCCAATGGAGGGGACAATTTGTATATTACACTTTTATTATATAGGATGATCCAGAAGTGACCAGGAATGTTTAACTCAAGCCCCTTCCTCAGCTTTATGTTGTACTGTGATTAAAATATGTTTAAAATGTTCAACAAATACACAGATAAATCACAGTAAATCCTACAAAGAAGACTCCATGAAAGCAGGCACTTGTCCTGTTTTGTTTCCTGTTGAATCCCTGGTATCCCAAAATAGTTCATGGGACATAGTAAGCATTTAATAAAGACTTCTTAAAGAATGAATTAATTCCTAGAAAATATATTTTTGTAGTTGTTGTTGAATGCATCTTTCTCTCTTTGTCCTATGAAACTGTATTTAAAGGAGAATACATTATCTGCTATCACTAGTAGCAGTCTCAGAATAAGAAAAAAATATATATTTTAAATGTGGTTATTTTATTTTAATTTAAACTGTTTAAGATAAACTATAATATTAGTTACTAATAGTTTATAAAATACAGCTTTTTGTTACTGAGGCACTTTAAGTTGCATAGTGAAAGTAATTAGCCCATACAAAGCACAACATTTTAAATACAATCTTAAGAGTATCTCCTGAAACCCACTTTCCATGGACCCTATCCATAAGTTATACTAATTTAGAATTCAGATATATTCATTTTTAAGATTCTGAGTAAAAAATTTAAAATATCAATAATTGGTTCTTTTGTGAATATTGAAGAACCTTGTTTTATTTAATGAACTAAAGGTTCAAAAAAAATTAAAGATTCTTTAAATATGCCCTCAAAAGATTGCTTCGGCAAGTCTTACCATTATGATATTCTAATATGTAGTGTGGTCAACTATGAAATGAATTAAAATATTTTCTTAAACATATTTTATGTTATCTAATGGAATATTTTTTTCTATATTGGCTTTAATGTGTACTATATCAGAATGGAATAGCATGCTATCTCTTTAAATCATTTATGGTTTACTTAGATGAACAATTTGAAATGGAAGCCTAATCTAATACCTGTGTGGCTTAGGCCAAGGCACTTAACCTCTCTGTGTCTGTTTTCTCATCTGTAACACCAAGATTATAATAACCCTCACAGGATATAAAGAACATAAAATAAGAATGTATATAAAAGCATTAATTTGTTTTTAATTTTAAGAAAAATTATAATTTGGATTTTTAAAAATAAAGATTGACCTTCCCTCATATCTTAGTAAGGAAGAGAAGTTTTTAACTTTTTTAGAAATTTGATTTGAGAGAGAAGGAGGGAGGAGGAAAGAGAAACATAAATTATTGTTCTTACTTATGCATTCATTGATTGATTCTTGTATGTATCCTGACTGGATTGAACATGCAACCTTGGTGTACTGGGATGACACCCTACTCAACTGAGCTACCTAGCCAGGGCCATATTTTTAGCTTTTCATATTATTTTTTAAATGTTTTTTTTTTTTTTTAATTTGAGAGAGAGAGAGAAACATCAATTGGCTGTCTCCTGCATGACCCCCCACCCCGCACCCTGCACCTTCAACTGGGGAAAGAGCCCATACCTGGGCATGTGTCTTGATCGGAAATCCAACCCCTGACCAGGAATTTAACCAGCAACTTTTTGGTGCACAGGACAATGCTCAACCAACTGAACCACACCAAGTTTTCAGTTTTTAATTAAGACATGCTACTATGCCAGTCTTAACTGATGGCAGCTGAAGTTACAGTCCAAATTATTTTAATGTAAACAATACAAAAAAATTTACGTGAATGTGAAGTCTGTGAACATTGTGATACTTTACTTCAACTTACTCTTTTTTCCTACGACCATGAAAAAAACTGGCCCATTCAAAGCATGTCTTTTTGCTTCCAACCCAAAATATGGAAGGAATACCAACTATGAGAGCCATCAGGTATTTCATCAGAAAGAGAATCAGGTCTGGACGACTCATTTGAGTGACCTACAAAAAGGAAAAGGAAAATATCTTAAATAAATAAAATAATTATTTATTAAAGGCCATTATAAAATATTTAAAATAAACAACAGTAAAATAATTCTACATTTTGATGTTTTCACTTATATAGTACTATACTTAATTTTTTGGTTATATGGAAAGATACACTTGCAAAAATTTGACAATAAACATATATTTTGAGTCTTATATTTTTCTTATTAGCTCACATTAGCTGTCTTCTATAGAAAAATAGTATTAATGCCCAAATAAACCCTAAATAGGAATAGAGGCTCAAGTAATAACCATACTGGCCAATTTTACTAGTGTTATGATTGGCCATACTACCTAATAAAAGAGTAATATGCAAATTAATCATCACTCTGCTACACCCACAAGCCACGCCCACCAGCCAACCACCATAGGTCCCTTGCCCAGGCTGCCCCACGTCGCAAGGGAACCCCCAACCTGATCCAGGACACCCTTCAGGGCAAACCAGCTGGCTTCCACCCATGCACCAGGCCTCTATCCTATCTAATAAAAGAGTAATATGAAGACTGACCATTATTTCAACACATAAGATCATGATAGCTGCCCCTATGTGGTCAAAGATCCTGCCCCATGTGGACACAAGATGGCCACCACAAGATGGCCAGCAGGAGAGGGCAGTTGGGAGGGACCAGACCTGAAAATGAGGGCAGTTGGAAGCGATCAACCCTGCAGGGGAGGGCAGTTAGGGGTGACCAGGCCATCAGAGGAGGGAAGTTGGGGGCAAACAGGCTGTCAAGGGAGCAGTTAGACATCAATCAGGCTGGCATGGGAGTGGTTAAGGGGTGATCAGGCTGGCAGGCAGAAGCGGTTAGGGGCAATCAGAAAGGCAGGCAGGCGTGCAGATTGGAGAGGGCACTGGCTGGGCTGAGGGACACCCCCCCTTCACCCCTGTGCATGAAGTTTGTGCACCAGGCCTCTAGTCACAATATAAAAAAATTATGATCTTTAATATGCTCTTCCATCTACCTACTTCATTCTTTATTCTGTTCTTTTCAAGCTTCCTCTTTAACCTATGAGTTACTTGTAAGTGCATTTTCTAGTTTCTAGTCAGATTAGATTTTCAAAATTTTATTTTTATTGCTGGTTTCAAGTTTAATTATTATGGTAAGAGAATCTGGTCTATAGATTCTGGTTACCTTAAATTTTGGAGACTTATTTTATGATTTAGGATACAGTTTTCTAAGTATTCCTTGTGTGGTAAAAAAATAACACATATTCTCTATTTGCTGGGCACACAATTTTCTATATGTATTAAATCAACTTCATCAGTTGTGTTGTTCAAATTTTCCCTATATTCTTGACCAATTTTCTGTTTACCTACCCATTTTAATATAAGTATACTAAAATCTCTCACATAACTGTGAACTCATCAGTTTTCCTTCCAATCTTGTCAAGTTTTTATTTTCAAGCCTATGTGAGGTGTTAGGTAAATTCAATAATGGTCTAGCTGCTTATTTTGCTTTATGAATACTCTTCACTTTAAATTGTATTTTATCTGACATTAATACTGTCACATCAGCTTTTCTTCCATGTTCAAATAACTCTAGCTTTCTGCCTATCTGTCCTAGTTCTGTTCTCTGGAGATAAGAAGAATAGAGCAATCACTCCGAAAGACCAGGTCCAATCAATGAGATACCCTGTCAGAAGCAAAACTTAAAAACACAGTGTAAGTATGGGGAACAAAGAGCCAACAAGACTATCCAGAAAATCCAAAAGAATCAACTGAAAAAAAAAACACACACACACACACAAAAACAAGCAGAAACAATCAAAGGGTTCAGTAACTTAAGTTGGACAAGATTAATATAGAAAAATAAAAAAATTCCGTATATATATATATATATCAATAAAGAGGTAAGAAAAATAATGAAAACCATTTAATTTATAATCTTAACAAAAACTTTTAGACACCTAGGAATAAACCTAATAAGAAAATGATAAAACCTTATTGAAGGACACAGAAAAACTGAAGTAAACAGAGAAATATACTATATTCCTACATGTAAAGACTCAATGTCTTAAAGATGTCAATTTAATTATCCCCCCAAATAATCCTATAAACTTGATATAATCTGAAAAGATCAATAGGATTTTTCACAAGATATAAAAAGTGAGGTATATAAGTATTTCAAACACTTAGATATTTATTTGAAATATCTAAGATAGATTTTTTAATAAGTGATGTAGGAATGGTTGGGAATCTACCTGGAAACAAAACAATTTAAACACCACCTCACATAGTAAGAAAAAATAAATTCTAGAAAGTTAAAAATAAATCACAAACCTATGGAAAACATAAAGCATTTTTATAATGGAGGGTGTGAAGCCTTTTTAGAAAAGTAATATGAAACAAAGAAGTTATAAAAGAAAAAGGCTGATAATTTTGATTACTAAAAACTTAAAATTTCTGTAGAATAAGAAACTATAAATCAAATTAATAGATTAATGACTAACTAGGAATATTAATTGTATTATCTGTCAATAAAGTAAAACAAAAAAGAAATCAAATGAATTAGTAAAGATAAAATAAGTTAAAAGTAAAAAAAATTAATAAACTCCAAAGTTGGTTATTTGAAAAGCATAATAACCATACTCTAGCCTAGGGGTGTTGAACTCAATCAGAGAAGGGGCCAAAATCTAAAATCCAGCCTAAATCGCAGGCCAAATGGTTTACTGAACAGTCATAAACTGTCATTGTGATGGAAACGCAGCGGAGTGCAGTGATGACAGCGTGGTGCGGGCCACATTGCAAGGCCTGGTGGGACGGATTTGGCCCGCGGGCCTTGTGTTTGACACATGTGCCTAGCCCAATCAGAACAACAGAGGGAAGCCCGCCTGTGTGGCTCCGTGGTTGAGTGTCAACCTAGGATCCAGAAGGTCAAGGCACATGCACGGGTTGCAGGCTCAATTCCCAGCAAGGAGCATCCAAGAGGCAACCCATTAATGATTCTTGTCATTGATATTCTCTGTCTCCCTTCCTCTCTAAAATCAACAAAAATATATTTTAAAAAACAACAACAAAGGAAAGAAAAGAACTCATGTGCACATACACACGCAAAAATGGTAAATAAACAGCTACAAAAGACAAAAACTAAAATAATATTAAGAGATTACTTTGCTCAATTGCATGCAAATAAACTTAGAAATTAATGAAAACAAATAATAAGAAAATATAAACAAAACTAACCATAGTTTTAACATAGCTCTGGCCACTTTGGCTCAGAGTTTAAGTGCCAGCCCACGTAATGAAGGGTTGTGGGTTTGATTCCTGATCAAGGGCACCTACCTTAGTTGTAGGCTCAATCTCCAGCCCCAGTTGGGGTGCAGATAGAAAGCAACCAATTGATGTCTCTCTGTGTGTGTTTCTTTCTTTTTCTCTCCCTCTCTCCCTCTCTCTCTTTCGCTCTGTCTCCCTCCTTCCTTCCCTCTACTCTCTCTAAAAAAATCAAAAGAAAATATATCCTGAGGTGAGAGTAAAACAACAACAAAAACTGACCCCAGTAGCGAGAATAAAATTGTGCTCAAGATTTGATAAAATAATAAATCTATAGATGTCCCATTTATGAATTTTTATGCAAACAGCAAATTCAAAGAATATGTCATAGCCTTGGCCAGGTAGCTCAGTTGTTTATAGTGCTGTCCCAATACACAAGGTTCTGGGTTCAATCCAGGAATCAAGGCATCAAACAATGAATGCATAAATAAGTGTAACAATGAATCAGTGTTTTTCTCTTTCTTTCTCTCTCTCCCCCTTCTTCTGTCTCAAATCAATCAATAAATTAAAAAAGAATATCATAACCAAATACAGAAAAGCAAGGAAATTGATTTATACATTTGATACATTATCGGATCAAAGAGAAAACATATACAATCATTTCTACATATGCCAAAAAGAAATTTGATAAAATTATCCATAATTGTTTTTAAAATTATAATAAATACCCATTTATTAAACATTGTAACAAAATAAAAATAGAAGATAAGCCCTTACAGTGACAAAATAAATCTGTTATTCCAAAAGCCAGTACCATGTTTAATGGGAACACCAGAAGTTACTAAGTCTCACTAAAGTCAGGAATACAAGAAAAGCTACTATTTCTACTCTTAATTAACTTTGTATCAACAGTTCTGACTGCAATTACACAAAAAAAGGTATAAAAACTATAAAGGATGATAAAATGATTATTTACAAATAATATAATTTTTAAAAATGTACTTTTGTTACTTTCAGAGAGGAAAGGGGAGGGAGGGAGAGAGAGAGACAAATATGATGTGAGAGAATCATTGATTGGCTGCCTCATGCATGCCTCACACTGGGGATCAAGTCCACAACCTGGGCATGTGCCCTGACTGGGAATCAAACTGTGACCTCCTGGTTCATAGGTCAAAGCTGGTGCTCAACCACTGAGCCATGTCCCCTTTCCCAGGTAAAAATTTGAGGAACTTCATACTGCACATTCAAAGAGTCACGTAAGGAAGTAAAAATGTTATCCTCCCCTCATCTATACTAATAAAAGGGTAATATGCTAATTAGAAGACTGGACATCTTCTGGATGTCCTTCCTGACAAAGCCAGGGCCCAGGTGCCTGCAGCTGGCAGGTCCCGGGTGCCTGCAGCCAGCCAAAGGGAAGCCTGTGAGAGACTGTATCTTGTTGCTTCTATAGTGTTTAAACTGCATTGCATTTTCTTTCATAAATTAGAAATACTGCCTATATAACAGAATTGCTTGAAATTAAGAGGAGTGCTTAAAACAAGATCAGCAATAACACCAACAATCAAAGCCTTCTATTTGGCAAGAGTGTAAAAAGAATTAGAAAACAGAGGGATAGAACAGTTTGTGTTATAAAGTTCTGGTCAAAGCCAAAATTCCAAGGTAACCAAGTCAGCACCTGCCCATGGTAGAGATACAGTGAGAAAGCAACTCAAGCAACACCTGTTTTGTGAACACGCCATTTAGG